ACTGCTATCATGTCACCCCTATTTCTTCTTTTCTTTAGACTAGCCAAACCCAAGTCCTGCAGCCATTCTTCATATGTTTCAGTCTCCAGGCCTTGGATCATCTTAGCTGCTCTTCTCTAAACTTTTTCCAAGGTCTTAACATCTTTTTTGTAGTACGGGGACCAAAATTGGTTGCAGTATTCCAGATGTGGTCTCACTAGGGTTTTATAAAGCGGTACTAATACTTTACGTGATCTTGATTCTATGCCTCTGTTTATGCAACCCAGAACTGTATTAGCTTTTTTCGTTGCTGCTACACATTGCTGGCTCATAGTCAAGTGATCATCCATTAGGACAGGGCTTTTCAACCTTTTCACAGATTGTACCACTTTTAAACATGAAAATATTCAAGTGCTTAGCAAGGTGTCAAAAACTTGATGATTAAAAAAAGGGGGGGATTTTGGGCTTTACTGGTTACTAGATTTATTTGTTGTTATAGAAATGGCTAGTTTATAATATTATAAAAAAGTAAAAAGTTGAGATTCATTGTTAATGCTTCCTTCCTACTGCAACAGTGGAACTCAGAAGTCAATGCCTTTTCTTTTCTTTTTCCCTTCTCCCCCTCACTTTTCCCTTTTTCTCTCATCCTTTGCTAGCAAAAGCCTCTAGCTTGCTCTCATTCACTCACACGTTGCTCGGAAAAGCTTCTCTCTTGCTCTCATTCACTCACACATTGCTCGCAAAAGCTTCTCTCTTGATCTCATTCACTCACACGTTGCTCGCAAAAGCTTCTCTCTTGCTCTCATTCACTCACACATTGCTCACAAAAGCTTCTCTCTTGATCTCATTCACTCACACGTTGCTCGCAAAAGCTTCTCTCTTGCTCTCATTCACTCACACATTGCTCACAAAAGCTTCTCTCTTGATCTCATTCACTCACACGTTGCTCGCAAAAGCTTCTCTCTTGCTCTCATTCACTCACACGTTGCTCACAAAGGCCACTCTTTTTCTCTCCCTCACCGCTTCACTAACAAAAGCCTCTTCTCTTCTCTCCCTTTCTCCATGTGTTTTTTTCTCTCCCGCCAAAACCTGCTCCTTTAGCTTCTCCTCTCTCCGCCTCCTCTTCCTCCTTTTCTCTTCCCAGTGTGCCAGACGCTCCAATCAGCATGCAGCCATGCGCGCAGATCCTGGGGCTTCTGCCGAGCCCTGCAGCTCCAGCTGATCTCCTCCAGGCCTGTGCGGCACTGCTTTAACTGATTCTCTCCCCCGCTACACTTGGTTAGGGGTCGCATACCACCTGCCAGATGCTAAAGTACCACCCTGCACTAGAACTCCAAGGTCCCTCTCACAGTTGCTGTTTTTGAGCCAGGTCTCATATAATGAGTTTCTAACAGGTTATCTATCATGTCAAAGGTTTTTTGTTTGTTTTAAGTAAGACTAGGAAGGAGAACATGAATGAATCTTTCTCTCTTTTCCTCATGAAAACAAGGATGCACAGTACAGCAAGCAGAAAGCAGAAACTGGACGGAAAGTTCCACAATTGTCTTTTTAACAGATTTACCACTTTTAAGCACATTCTAGTCTCCCTTTTGTGGCAGCAGGAAACATTGCTTTGCCATTCAACTGCCTGCAACATGATCTGATGCACATGACTGTGAAAATTAATCAGCAACATGAATTGTATCTGGAGCAGAATAGCAGCCGCTATTCAGAAACAGTGACCAATGTATGGAAACAGTGACCATCAATGTGAGCACATATTGTATGTTACACCAATCCAATGAACAACAGGTGTGGGCTTCCAGAATCTTTATTAGAGTTGCTGAGGAATTGTGGGAACTGTAGTCCACACATCTGAATGATTTAGAAATTGTGGAAATCTGGTTTAAAATCCGGACATGTGTACAATAAGTCTCTCCTGCTGCCGTTTGTTTTTGACTAATGAAAAAAGAATTCACATTCACTTTTTTGCTTGTGATATTTCCTACTATTTCTAGTTTTTGAAGGCCCCTAAATATTTGAAACCCTTTGCAACAGATAAGAGCACCTATTAGTAAAATACATAGTCATTTCAAAGTTAAATTTTATTGAGTGTTTGTTGATTACTGTAAGCCTATGAAGTTTTCCAGATGTTTGCCAGCTTGTATCACTCAATAATAAAATAAAAGATTAGATGTCATTTAGCTATAATTAAATTTCTATAAGCATTTGGGGGCACAGAGCAATTAAAAAACACAAAACACAAAAAATCAAATCAATACAGTTTAGTTCAAGCCCCAAACTTAAGATTTATTTATTTGCTAAAATGGTAACATGGCTTACTCTTGACTTCAGACAGTTCCCAAAATATGATAAAAAGAACAAGCACATAAACATCATAAAAAATATTTAAGGAATAAAAATGACATGTGATGCAATTTTATACTTTCAATGCTCACCAAAAAAGCCATGGTCTTATGAAGGGTGGGTGCCTACAAATTTCAAGGTGCAATATATTATGGTTTGGACGTTCACAGAAATTTTTTGCTTCTGTTCCTAATAAAATATGTAGCAAAAATCTCTATGCAATGTCCATTGATTGTGTGCAGAAACTGCTAACCATATTCAGTGTCACAGAATATCCCAAAATTTGGTTTAATATTCCAGAATATAAACAGGAAATGTGCATATCCATATCTTGTTCATATTCAGGCTGCGATGTCTGAGTTAGAAGAAGATATGTGATGTCTACGTTGAATAAATAAGTTTTTCATTACAGCAAAAATCAGCACTTGGAGGTTGGTAAGGAAAACCTGAGTATAAATAAATAGAAGCCTTTGACAATAGGCAGGCAAGAATATGTGATTAGAAGGATCATAAAAATAGTTATTAAGAGTAAACTGATGTAACAGATAGCCGGATCTAGGTGTCACTAAAATGTTACCTTTTGGTTAGAAAGTATCTCCTGAACATCTCAAAAGGAAAATGTAGGAGAATAAAACTATAATCACAGACCTGGAATTTAACTGGCATTCATAATATATATTATCTTCCACAAACAAGTCATAAAATATACTTATCTAGTCTTTTGCAGGAGTGTGGGATAAGGAGAAGTTCAATTTAGTGCAAAGGTACCTAATAATTTCAAGGACAAAAGGAGGGATTAGTGGGTTTCCATTTAAGACCATTTGAAGTTGCTAAGCTCCAATTGGTTGCTTAGAAACTAAACCACAGTTTATATTCTTGCCGGGTACCATTCTGGGTCTTCATCTCAAAGACCCGAGGCACAGAAGCATCCAGTGTCCCTAATGATTTTGAAATTATTCACAGGTGTCCAGCAAAAAAAAAAAAGGTGAGTAGCATTTTTTAAATTGGAAAAACAAAGTTTCCCATATAATTGCTTTATTAAAAAATATGGAGGGATAGAGTGTATAGACTATCGAGTTTATCTTTTCTTCAAATAAATGGCTATTTGAAATTCTTGCACTGGCTGTCCATTTTAAAAGCAAATAAGAAAATGTAAGCGAAAAAGAGTAAAAGTGATTTAGCAGCATTGTGCTGCACGAAAGCTGCTTGGTGTATTTGCACAGAGTTGTGTGTCATAAATTTGTATATAACAGACAGAGTTCCAAGTGGAAATCAGAATAACTACAATATTTTTTCATACAGAAATGTTGTGGTCTTGTCTGCTGGATTTTTGCCAGTTGTGAAAAAGCTAAAACAAAAATGGCCTATATAATTGTGATAGAAAGAGCAGTTTCTATAACATTGATCTCAGCAGGAACCAGAGTATAATTATTTTTTCTTTATTAAGTTGGTACCATTGAGTTGAGTTCATCTCCTGGTGCCTGGAAGTACAAATATCCCATTTTGATTTGTTCATCCAGAAATATGAACAATACCAATTTTGTATTTTCAGGCAAGCCACAGAGTGAAATCCAGTTATCTTTGGAATACACACTTATCCAAAAGTTGAAATGCAGTTTGATATATATTACAGAACAGCCTCTCTCTCTTCATGAAAATACTACTGAAATGATAATAGTCTGTACAACCTGTGGACATTAGATATAACTGCAAACAAAAGGCATGGAAAATGATGCATACAGATGCATAAACATTCAAGCTCAAAAAAAAAAAAGCCGAGGAATAGGATCAATTGAATTTATAAATGGAAAAATTTGAAACCGTGAGAAGTTGCAATGTCCATATTTGTCCTTCCTTAATCTCAAGCGTGGTGACCCATTGATGGAAGAGAACATTAATAGCATGCATATAGTCAGATTCAGCACAGAATAATAAAGTTGCAAGGGACCTTGGAGGTCTTCTAGTTCGACCCCCTACTCAAACAGAAAACCCTATACCATTTCAGACAAATGGTTTCATTTCAGTACAGTACTCTACAGTAAGGTGAATTTTAAAACTGAGGAAGCCAGCTGTTAAATTCAGAGAGCTGAAGCAGAAATGGTTATGTCTGCAGATAACACAGTGTGAATAACACTTTTAGGGTTAGATAGGACACTCTCTTCTAGCTAGGACCAAACTATATTTGGTTTTAATGTGCAGGTTTTTCTCAAAATGCAAATACCCAAAGCTGGGAATGCTAGCAATTACTGGAACTTCAGCAGAGAGGGAATTTAATGTCTGATCCTTAAGCAGCTGCATTTTGAATTTGGGGAGATGGTATATCAGTAGCTGTATGAATTTAGTGGTGAGAAAATGATGGCTCTGTAGTTGTTCTTTCAGCAACTGGAAATGATTAGAATGTGAGCTTGGACTTTCATAAAGTGGTTTTAATTCTTCTGGAAAATCATCATCTCCTTTGTTGTTATCTGAATATTCTTCCAAAATTTGACAGATAAAAATAGGAACATGATCTGTTCCCTTAAGATAATATGAAATTTAGACCAGAATGGAGTGAAGAAACTGTAATAAAAGCAAAATGCAAATACCCAAAGCTGGGAATGCTAGCAATTACTGGAACTTCAGCAGAGAGGGAATTTAATGTCTGCTGCTTAAGGCTTGCTACAAGTTAAAACCCCTATAGATTGCTAGAAGACAATTAAGATGTTAGGAGAATTCCTTTTATGTACTGGGAGATAGAAGTGAAAGAAAGAATGTCTGGCGACACCATGTTAAAAAAGTTATTTACTGGAAAAGTTAACCCTGATTTGGACAGCTGATATTAGGTAGACTTCCACTTAGAGGCCTTTCCCCTTATCATTATTTGCCCTTCTACTTGTTTTGAAACTTAGGAGGAAAAGATAACAGACGTAAAATCTGAAAAGGATGGTGTTAATATTCCTCTCATGTACTTTTGGGGTCTCTTTCCACAGTTTAATCAGATTTGATTGTCTTTTTCTGCTGGTGTGAATGCCTTTTGAACAATTACAGAAGCAAAATTCTGCTCTAGGAGACCTAGTCCGTTCCTCTACATTAATACAGATTTTTCTGGATAGCTCACAAGCAAGGTATGAAGGCTACAACTTTTTTTTTCTACCATTGCCTCTTCCTCTGTCTTCACTGGGATTCAGTTGTATATTATCCATGGTTCCACATGTCCATTTTGAGCAGCTATGGGGAAATTATATAATCAGCTGTTCCCAAGTTATAACATAGACAGAAGCTATTGAAAAGCCCAACAGCTGGATGGCTACAAGCTCCCCATCTTTGCTTTTGAGTAGAAGTGCTAGGTGGATCAATGTTATAACATCAACTTTGGAAAAAAATCATTGCTGGGTTTGGAGCAATATAATCCACCAATTAACCCATTCTGTGAAGCAGCATTTTGTTTTGTGTTACCAGACCTGAATTTATTGTCAATAAATGTTTAACTTTAGCAGAGAAAAATATCTCGCTCTGCCTTCTTCAAATTACTGTGCACAATTTCTCTAAGATGCCCCCTTTTTTTTCTTTAAGGGTAAAGACTCAATTGCTTATTTTAACCTCTTGCTCTTATTTGAAAGTTACCTCTGGTCATTTTACTGTTACAATAATGCTTTCCAAAGGTATTTGAAATGGAGAGAACCTACTGTATTCTCTTGGCAATTGGCTATTTCCACCCCACTGTGGAAAACATAAAAACCAAGTGGTTTGAGAAGAATGTTTCAATGGATACCTTGGTTTTAACCAAGCACAATAATAAACCCTTAAGTAGTTTAAAAAAGAATGTTGAGGTTTTTTTTACCTTATGATATACTGGACTTTCCCATCAATTTATTCTATATGTTTCTCTTGAAGCCCCTTTTCCCACCTAAATTGGGATGTCCCATCTTGTGACAGCTAGAAACCTATTATTATGAGTTCTCACCTCTCTGGTGGTTTCAGAGTGCCTGGACCTTTATAGCCACTGAGATAGCTCTTCCATGGTACAGAATATTTTGACCAGCATAGAGGAGATGATTAACAACTCATGTGGCTTCTTTGGTCTTGGGTGGCATATCAGCCCAAGGCCTGGTGTTGATAATTAAGGCCTACACGAGTATATTTGCTGTCCTGCCCTTTGAGAATAAAAAACCCAACAACCCTCAGCTAGTTATAGTGGTCACAATAAGAACTTCCAGATGTTCCTGGGATGCTGTAAATTCTTCAAATGCACAGAATGCAGAGAGAATATAATCTATGTGTGTGAATCAGTATATACGGCTTATTTGTCTTAATCACCACCTCATGAAGGTAAGAAACAATATTAGGTAGGAAGAATTGTGTACTTATTTAATTGTTGTTTCTTCTCAGTAGGTTTACTGAGACTATTTAGATAAATAGGGTGTTCATAAGATTACTTGCAAAGACCCTATCATTATCCAGAATAAGTTCTAACTCCAATAAGCCCCCAAAAAAGAAAAAAGAAAAAAAGAGAACAGGTTAGTGCTCATGGAACTCAAAGCTGACTTTAAACTACCACGGAGTTCTCTTTTTTGTATGCCTTATATTGCACAAGCAAGCACTTATGTAATTGCAAAGGCTTTGTGTTAAATATAGCAGCCTTTCATAACTTCAAGATTTTTGTCCCTTTTCTGTAAAAACCAATATATTTTTAGACTTCCCATGGATAGTCTACTATTAGCATCTTGCAATGACCCTGAGCCAATTTTACATGAATGGGAGACCTGTGTTCTACAACTGAAAAGAGCAGGTAGTTCTCCTCTAGTCTCGCTGTTCAGTTTTAAAACAACTGCCATTCACTAGACCAGTGGTGCTGAACCTATGGCACCCGTGCCAGAGGTGGCACTCAGAGCCCTCACTGTGGCACGCACCCTGTTGCCCCAGACCTGCCTTTCCCCATGCTCCCCTCCTCACCAGCAGCCCCCCTGGAGGAGAGTTGCCCCCGGGCGCGGCCCACGCACAGCAGCGCAGCCAAGGACAAGATTCCACCCTCACACCCCGTTGTGCGCAGATAATGGTGTGGGGCACGGGTGGAGGGCGTGGCCACCATGGCACTGCAGGGCCACCTGAGTGATCTGCTGTGGAGGCCATGGAGACAGTGGGTGGCCCTGTGGGCAGGCAGAGGCAGGCAGAGCAGGCGGGGGTAGGCAGGAGAGATAGGGCGGGTTTTGGGCAGTCTCTAAAAGGTTCTCCATCACTGCACTAGACCTTGACATTTTTAAGATGTGTGGACTTCAACTCCCAGAATTCCCCAGTCAGCCAGATATCTTAAAGCTGTCAATGTTGAAAAATACTGTATGAGAAATGTAGTTTGACTGAACAGAAGAAGTCTTGTTTGAAACCAGAACTACTAACACCCTCTTGATTTGAGTAATGAGAGTACAAAATTCTTCAGCAAAATTTTTGTGGCAAGAGTTCAAAATCCTCAATAGCCTCAATGAAACGTCTTTCTCCTCTCCTTTAGCTTCCCTTTTGACAGCTGTTCTAACTATTGTCTGGTCTAATATTAGTGAGCTTAATTTAAAAACTAGTGGACTGAATGGAACAAAAAAGCATGGGATCAACCATGGACCAGTGTTAGGTTTTACAACATATTATACAAAAAAAATACTCATCAACCTTCAGAGGAATCCCATACATATGACCTTCATTGACTTCAAAGCAGCTCTTGACAGTTTCTAGAGAACTGTGGAACAAATTGGAGATCTTATCCATTCATGGGTGCCTCCTGGCATTCTTTATTAAAATTCTGCTTGATAATTCCTTTATCTAAATTAGGTTTGACAACAGAGATCAGCTTTCTGCTCTGGGGCCTACTTCCAAAGTGTTGATCAGAGTGTATCTTAAAACATTTCCTATTTTTCCTATTTAATTGTTTGTATCCATTGGTGGGAAACAAATCACAAAACTGGAACATCTCCTGCCAGGACTGGTGGATAGATTTATTATTTCAATATGCAGATTATGAAGCCATTTTCTCAACTTCAGCGCTTGGACTAAGGCAGGGGTGTCAAACTCGCAACCTCACGTGATGTGTTGCAATGTATCGTGACTTTTTTTCCATTGCCAGCAATGGGGTAGGTGTGATTTTGTCATGACGCATCCGGCCTGTGGGACGGCAGTTTGACACCCCTGGACTAAGGAGAGCATTAGATCCAGTTGCCTCCCATTGTGCAGATAATGACCTGGTTATTAAATATAAATTATGTTTTTTTTCTCAAAGAGACCTTAAATACAAATGGCAAAATAACAGGAATGTTATTGAAAAGGTTAAGGCCTTTAATTATCTTGGAATTATTTTTCCTGCAACAGCTTAAATTCAGCTTTTAAAGGAAATGGTAAAAAAAGCCACAGCTACCATATTAAGGTCTTTTCATACAACAAGAGATGATTATATACCAGTTGAAGTAAAAAGTGTTGGAGGTTAAAGTAAGGGCACTTTGTTTGTTATGGCTTTCAACTACAGCTAGTCCTTGCTTAATGACCATTAATTAAGTTACAATGGTAGTGAAAAAAGGGATGTACTATTGACCCTCGCAGTTATGACCATCACAGCTTGCTGTGGTCATGTGATTGTCATTTGCAACCTTCCCAACCAGCATTCGGCAAGCAAAGTAAATAGGAAGCTGACAGGACATCATAAGCTGTGATCAGATGATGTCTTGCTTAATGACCACAGCCAGGACTGCTGGAACTGCCAATGTTAAGCAAGGCAGTCACGTGATAGTTCATTTAATGGCCACCTCACTTAGCGACTGAGTTCCCAGTCCGATTTAGGGTTGTTAAGCAAGAATTACGTGTATGTGCCTATAACGACATGGAGCTGTTAAAGGGCATTCAATCAGGATTTCTATGGGACTTTGGGGGACTCTCTAGTGCAGACATGTCAAACACAAGGCCTGGGGGCCAGATGTGGCCCGCAACGTGGTTTTATGTGGCCCGCGAAGCCATCCTGGAAACAGTGAGGGAATGGCCCCTGCTGCCTTGGCCCCGGCCCTGGCCGCCCGGGAGCCAATGTACAATTTTGTGGTGGCCATCTATGCTGAAACGCATTCAGTCTTAGCTCTACAAGGCCATCTGGAAACAGCGAGGGATCGGCCCCTGCTGCGTTGGCCCCGCCCCTGGCCAGCAAATGGCCCTCGCCTACTTCACATATCTGGCTTGATGGGCTCCGGGGAAGGGGTTTCGGCAGGCTCTTCCAGTGGACCATGCCTTGGCGCTTGCCCTGGTCCCACCCCCTTCTGCCAGAGACCCTCAAATATGTCCCACTCCTGCTCAGGCCCCCACAGGCACCCTTGATGCGAACGATGTAGAGCTGGCCATGCCCATCCAGTAGTCCACACCCACTCCAGCCACACCAGCCCAGTAGGCCGTGCCCACCCTGGCCACACCTACCCGGCCCCCCAAGGACAACCACAATGCTGATGCGGCCCTCAATGAAATTGTGTTTGACACCCCTGCTCTAGTGCATCCCAAACACAATTGTTTGCACTAAGATGAGAGGAGAGATAGCATTGTTAGCTATTAGTTTAAATTATTTTCAAATCAAATAGTTTCACTGCTCTAACTCTAAGCTAAATAGCAGCCTTCCTAGTGGAAATTATTTCATTTTCACCTTAAGTCCACTTTGTAGACTTTCACTTACTTGCACCAATCTCAATGGCTAGATAATTCTTTCAACAACGTACAGAGTGATTGACTTTCAAAATGTCTTACTTTATCCCAGAGAGACCAAAACAATAATAAGTCCTTATTATATATTGCTGCAGTGCCTTTTTATAGACATATTCATGCTGTATAAATATTTTCCCAATTTCAACATGATATTTGGAGAGGACATAGGATGACTAAGTCTCCTACTAACTAATCAGGAGGTGGAGATCTCAGGCAGTAAAGCCAAATTAAGTATCCTGATTATGACGGATTATAAAGGATAGTTTCAGGGGAGGTATTGTTATGTTATCTTAATATAATTTTATATATGCTTTGGTATATTTTAGCTGTATTTGAATTCCCATGTACTTATTTTATTAATAACTTTAAAGTTTTTCTATGGTGATAATAAAATAAACAATTTATTAAATAAGGAAAGGAACCATTTATTTTTCCTAAATGTCTCAAATGTACTATTTCAGGCTTTTCTGAGGGGACAATTTCAGCCTTCTGCGGGGGACAAAATGGCAACTGCCAATTCTGACGCTGTTCTCCCAATCTGATATCACACCCCACCCCATTTTGGTTCTGGGAATCCTACGCTGACTATGGAATTATGGGAAATGCAGTCCCAATATAGGAAAGTAGTAGTTTGGGGGAGGATGTTTTAGATATTATGAATGCTGCTAATAACAGGAATATATTATTTCTACTGGTAATAGAAACAATGTGATATAGGGATTAAGCTATTGATTAGGCTCAGGGAGATCCATGTTAAAGGCCATTTTCATCTATCAAAATTTATTGGTGTCTTTGGGCCAGTGAATCTCTCTCTCTCTTTCTCTCTCTCTCCCTCCCCCAAAATCTACCTTGAAAATTTGTTGCTAGGGATATCAAAGGAAGAGAGAATTCCATGTAAATCATTCTGAAAAATGGTTTGTGTGTGAATAAAACAAATAAAATAAAACAAATCCCAGCTGAAAGATATTAGATTAGAGAATGCTATCCCTGTATGTATCTCTAGTAATAATAATAATAAAGTTGGAAGGGACCTTGGAGGTCATCTAGTCCAACCCCCTGCTCAGGCAGGAAACCCTATTTTAGGGATGAGTAAGTTTATTGAAATTAAAGAGAAATTCTCAGAGTAGAGGTCCAGTAGACTACAGTTATTCTGGGATGAAACAATGATAAAATGGAACTATTAGTTCTACCACAAAACTTCAGTCTCGTATACAGTTCCATCTCCATCAGTCCTCAAATGTTCATTCTATGAAAGACTCTTGGGGCTCAAATAATATTGCTGACTGAATTTACCAAACATTCTGTTTCTGAAGGCAAATTATACAGAGTGAAATAAATATTGTCAACATTTGTATTATGAAATGCATTTCTTAGTATTAATGCTAAAATGTACTTTGGTTTCTTCATAGGTTACAATACCAAATATGAAGACTCTGCTTCTCCTTATCAGTATTCTTGGACTAGTTGTTGCTTCTCCTGTAAGTGAACTGAACTGTAACAAAAATTAACTACAACTGAAATTAGCTGTCTACATCTATTAGATGTAGACAGCTTAAATAAGCTTGATGATCAAGTAGTTAGATCCGGAGCAAACTTGCAAAATGGCTTGTCCAGAAAAAACATGGGAAAATAGAAAAGACGTTTCAAGGGAATTGGTGGAAACTATGTTAATTCATAAAAACTCTGCAAGATCAAAATTCACATGCTTGCAATAAGATTGTTTGCTTATGTTCTTTGTAGTTATGGACATGCTGACTAGGATTTCTGGGAATGATAATGGCTACATATCTAAAAATTGGGAAATTGCTATATTGACAACAGATGGCTTTGTGGCATATAATAACTGATTTAGTCTCATCATATGTTTTGCAGACATTTTTTGAAAAACATGAGTACAGATACAAGAGTGGAAATTCAGCTTTTCTTTTTACTTCACTGGCTGTTCCATGTTAGTGATTTAATAGCATCATTCAGCAGTTTGTTAAGTAATCTGTCAGTAATGGAGATGGGTTTATGCCATTCCAGTATTGACTGGCTAATGCTGTTTTCTGCCTGCCCCCTAAAATGGAGGTGGACAACCTGTGGCCCTTGAGCATAGGAAGTTCCTCAAACTTTGTGATGGGGGCAGTCTCAGGCAATTTCACAGATTACCCTATGCTAAAAATCTGTGGCACAGTATTGGAAAGAATTAAGAAATGAGAAGTAAATTAGGCATTAATAAATATATCTATCCTACATAGCACTAGTGCTTAGATTTATCTACTACTTCACAATGCTTTAGAGCAGGGGTCCCCAACCCCCAGTCCGTGGACCGGTATCGGGCCGCAGCATGACAGCAACCAGGCCACACAAACAAGCAAAACCCCATCCACCGGATGCAGGCAGCACACAAAACCACGCCCCCTCTGGTCCACAGAAAAACCTCTCTCCACATAACCGGTCCCTGGTGCCCAAAAGGTTGGGGACCTCTGCTTTACAGCACTCTCTGAGCAGTTTTATAGTGTTAGCAGATTGCCCCCAACAATCTGGGTCCTCATTTTACTGACCTCAAAAGGATGGAAGGCTGAGTCAACCTTGAGTTGGTCAGGATCGAACTCATGGGCAGAGTTTACCTGCAATGTCAATTACACAGTTTTCATATTCATTTCATATTGATGTTATTATTTTAATCCTTTCTTTCTTTCCTAATAAGTCTATTGTTTGTGTTATTTACCTAAATTATTAGAAATTTTTATATTTCATTTTTATGTTATTTAGTTGTACTTTTGTGTTTTCTGGTTTTATAAAGTTTTATCTAGTTATATCTTACAGTTAAAATTGTCCTTATTGGATTGATTGCAAATTTGTGCTGATTTATGACTATAATAAAACTTATTTATTTAAAAAAAATTATAGGATTCTCAGTGACTTCAGGCAGCTTACAAAGATAAAAACTTACAAAGCCAATATAAAAACAATAAAAAAATCAATAACTCCCACCCTCCTGGGGACAATAGTCAATCAAATAAGCCAGTTGATGGACTCCATCCTACCCTGGAGTCCCCAGACCATTGGCAAATTAGGTATTCAGGGCCTTGCAAAAGATACTTTATATTTATTCCCATTATGCTATTTCCTGTCATTATGCAATGTGTAAAAAAGAAGTCTAACAAGTAATAAGATAAAGAAATTATAATCATGAGATAAGAAAAGGAAATGTAACTAAATCTGGTTTACACCAAAAACATTCTGTATACGTAGCTCCCCATAATTTGACTTGCAATCATTGCAAATCAACCAGCTTTCTATTCTGTCTTGTGCAGTGTGTCATACGTGGCTTTGTGTTCTTTCAATTTCTCTCTTTCTGAGGATCTCATCAACTCCATCCAACTTTGACTTTCTCGATTTTCTCTTTCTTCTCTCTACATTTGTTCTTTCTTCTTGAGTTTGTTTTGATTTTGATCCTTATCACAGGATGTCAATAATTCTTTATCTTGAATACAAAGAGAATCACCAGTACAAAAGAAGTTTATTCAGTTAGCGATTCTCTTTGTATCCAAACTAAAGAATTATTGACATCCTATGATTCCTCAAGGCAAATTTAAAAAAAAAAGGGGGGGTTGCTCCAAAATCCACACTTTTGCATTATACTCCTCTAAATATGTTCACATGCTAATATTTTATGATTTTTTTTTTGTGACAGATCCAGAGGAGTGATGTACTTAGAAGAGACCCCAGGGGCAATATTAATTCTACTAATGTAGATCAAAAAATAATAGTTAATCCTGCCCATAAAAATGAGCAGAAGCAAAACAGAGATGGTAAACACCAGGAAGGAGGAATATTGCTCAACCTCAAGAAACAGCATGTTACAGCTGGAAAACTCTTTACAGGTGATGCTTTCATTCCCTACCAAGGGCATCAAAATGCAAAGGAGAGACTGCGGCTTCAGGACAGCATAGGACTTGCACAAACCACAAGTAACAACCAGTATAACAACCAGTATAATACACAGGAAAATCTGGGTCAACACCTTAAAAGCTCTCAGGTGGATCTTTTCAAAAAGACCAGCAATGTTGAAGAACATTACATTGAGGATAAGAGAGAGAACAGTGCAGTTCTAGGTCCAGCAGCCACAACAGGAAGCCCCAACATTCATGAGACAGATTCCTTTGCTGAAAAACAATATATTGAGGGATCCCAAACCAGAAATGGACTTAAGTCAAGAAAAGATGCTGATGTCTTCTCTAATGATCATTACAGTTTTGACAGCTTCAATTTATATGATGAGGGCATGCAAGGAGATGACCCAGGATATGCTGATGACTCTGATTCTAGTGAGAGCAATTCCAACCAGCACCCTGGGGCACCAGGTAGTTCCAGTGATTCAAATGATGAGGAATCAGAACAATCGAGCCACTCAGAACAATCGAACTCTGGAAGCCCAGGGGGTTCAAATGGATCCCAAGACTCCAGCAACCCAGATGACTCCAGTAGCTCAAGTGGCTCTAGTGATTCTAGTGACTCTAGTGATTCGAGCAGCTCCAGTGATTCAAGCAGCTCCAGTGCCTCTAGTGATTCGAGCAGCTCCAGTGATTCAAGCAGCTCCAGTGACTCCAGTGATTCAAGCAGCTCCAGTGCCTCTAGTGATTCGAGCAGCTCCAGTGATTCAAGCAGCTCCAGTGACTCCAGTGATTCAAGCAGCTCCAGTGACTCCAGTGATTCAAGCAGCTCCAGTGACTCCAGCGACTCAAGCAGCTCCAGTGACTCCAGTGATTCAAGCAGCGCCAGTGATTCAAACAGCTCCAGTGACTCTAGTGATTCAAACAGCTCTAGTGACTCCAGTGATTCTAGCAGTGCCAGTGATTCAAGCAGCTCCAGTGGTTCCAGTGATTCAAGCAGCTCCAGTGACTCCAGTGACTCCAACAGTTCTAGTGCTTCCAGTGATTCAAGCAGCTCCAGTGATTCCAGTGACTCCAACAGTTCTAGTGCTTCCAGTGATTCAAGCAGCTCCAGTGACTCCAACAGTTCCAGTGCCAGTGATTCGAGCAGCTCTAGTGATTCCAGTGACTCGAGCAGCTCCAGTTCCTCTAGTGATTCAAGCAGCTCCAGTGATTCAAGCAGCTCCAGTGACTCCAGTGATTCGAGTAGCTCCAGTGCCTCTAGTGATTCCAGCAGCTCCAGTGACTCCAGTGATTCGAGCAGCTCCAGTGCCTCTAGTGATTCTGGAGATTCTAGCAGTGATTCTAGTGACTCATCTAGCAGCTCAAGTAGCTCCAGTAATTCTAGTGATTCCAACAGCTCCAGTGATTCAAATGATTCCAGTGCCTCTAGTGATTCTGGTGATTCTTCTGAGTCCAGTAGCTCTAGTGATTCCAGTAGTCCAAGCGATTCTAGCAGCTCCAGTGCTTCCAATGCCTCCGATGATTCTAATGGCAATAGCAATTCCAGTGATTCTGGCAATTCCAGTAATTCCAGCGGTTCAAAATAAACTATCCGAGAGGCGAAAAAGTAGGAAAAAGCGGCACTTATGAATATAAGTCAAAATGGTAGCGTTGTTGGCAAAAGTGTAAATAGTACATTTCACTCTTATTTTGATAACTGCTTCACTCTATTAGGCAGGGAAGTCCAATGAAGTAAGAAATTCTTCAACCTTTTTATGCAACACTTCGTGTCTATTTTGGCTACTCTACTGACTTCACTATTGCAAAAAAGATAACTATCTATGATATGAAATATTCACAATTATGATAAAATCCAGAGTTCTCAAAAAATAACAACAACCCCACCACCCTACAAGCCCTAAACAATTTTTATGTTTCTCCAATAATAAAAGAACAGTTGCAACTGGTTCCAAACTATTTTGTCAGCAAAGGGTGCACTTTGAATTGATAACAGTGCTCTTTTTCCAGACATCCATTTGGAAACCAGAGTTCTACACGTGTACATGTCTGAACAGAGTTCCTCATGATTTCTTGAGGACTGTCACATTATTTAAGGTGGGCTAAAACCAATTGCTTGTACACCCTTTGCACTCACTATCACAATGTGGATTTATTTTTTATGAACGTAGCATAATGTCTGACTTGGCATAATATGTGAGTCCAGTTTTTGGGATGTATGGCTTCAACAACTGTATGAACACAAATGTATAGACCCGACCATTATAAATATAAGGTGTACTGCTCTAAATACAGAAAGAAAATTGCTCTCAAATGGATCGTGCATTACCAGATCTACAGAAACACATGCTTAAGCAATAAAAAAAATGCTACAGGCAGAAAGCGATGTCCAGTCAAAATTGAAAATGGTGGGGCCAATTTTACTCATCTGATGTTCTCTAGATGTCTCTAAACCACAATTGCTAAAATTCTCAGGGCTCTGGCTAGAAATTCCAACAAATGCAGTCCTAACTCATGCAGAGGGCGCTTGATTGAGGAAGGCTAGAGTAAATAAACCCTTCCTTCTTGTGTTCTCTGTGATTTTTCCCCTCTTTTTTTGACATTTGTTTTCTTTTCTAATTTAGGGGATTGTGGCTTCTTATTATAGAACTAGGGTGTGGAATCTTGACAGCACAACAAAGCTAGTGTGTCAAGGTTGTTTAAAGATCAGACTATGCTGTAAATATGCTGGCGGTACAGGGTCAAACATCACTTCCAACATGCATAAAAATAATATTACAGCAATATTATTAATAATAAAGCAATATCCTACCATATCCCGGACACATTATAGACTACAAGTAGAAACCAGCCCACTTAAGTCCCTGTTAATCATTTCATTACAGGTTGACCTCATTTTAAAACCACTCATTTAACGACTGCTCGAAGTTACTACAGTGTTGAAAAAAGTGACTTACAATTGGTCCTCGCACTTATGACCATCCCCTGTGGTCATGTGATCAAAATTGGTGCATTTGACAATTGGCATGTACGGCATTGGAGGGTTGCAGGATTCTAAGGTCATGTGATTTGCAATCTTTTCAGCCAGTTTCCAACAAGGAAATCAATGGGGGAATTCAGATTTGCTTAATGACTGTGCAATTCACTTAGTGACTATAGTTATTCGCTTAACAAGTGCAGTGTAAAAGGGTGCAAAATTGAGCGAGAGTCACTTAATGACTGCCTCGCTTAATGGCATAAATTCTAGTCCCTATTCTCATTGTAAGTTTGAGGGCTACTTGTACAATGAAATCCCAGCTAGATGAAACACAAATGGATCTACGCTGAAACGCTGTGAAAGTCAAAACAAATCAGGCGCTACACACTGAAATGACACTTGACTAGAAAAATGACCCAGGACACAGGTAAGTTGACCAGTATATCACAGAACAGGGGCAAGTTCCTTTTTTTAAAAAAGGGAACTAAAAGAGAGCACAATGAAGGGTTTTCCAGTTACTAAATTCTGCAAAATCATGAAGAAAAGACATTTTTATCTTTGTTCCCAGTACAGAACATCCAATGGAAGTGTTCAAGGGAAAAGAAATAATTTTATCACCTGGTGCACATTTTTTTTATTTTAGAAATCTTTAAATGGGGATCAAAAGTCCACCATTCATTATGAAGCATGGTAAGAAAATAAAATCTTTAACCTGAGCGGAAATATATCAACTACCAACCATCCATAATATACTGTATCACCAAATGCCAGCAGTACTGCAAACTTGGGATATTATAGGGTTGATTTGCTAGAGGTTTTGAGCTGATTCTTACTGAGAAGGATTCTAAATTGGATTTTGCTGTTCCAACATAGAAGCTGTTCTGATACAATGGCTGTTTCAGGAGCAGCCCTGTTGTCTTGCAGAGTTAACGGGAACTGCAATCTCACACACCTTGAGGGCTCTACATTAGAGAAGGCTGATCTTGAATGTACTGAAGAATGAAATTTGAACACTAACTCCTTATCTTTCCTGTCCTAAAACCCACACTAAAATATTTGCATTCAAGCTAGCCAGAGTTTGTACTTTTTCAACCTGGAATGAACTTACATGCAAAGTATATGAACATTTAGAAGAGTCTGCAGGAGCTAAAAATGGTCTGATTTCTGGGAATGCCAGCAGTGGCACAATGGTTTGGCAACTTTTGTGAGTCCAAAGATATTTTTACACCATCTGATCATAACTATTATTGGAAAAATCCAAGCTGGATTTTTGTCTGAGTTTTTCTCTTTAACATTAGCCTTGCTATATATTACACTCCATAATCCATGCCTTCCCAGTCCCAAGGTTTTTCTTAGGATGAAGCAATTAATTAAAACAGAACTGGCTTGGAAGCAAGTATGATGAAAATAAGGAGCTTCATATAAAGAGAATCTATATAAAATGTTTTATAGATGGCATATGACACCAGTTAGATTAGCGAAAATGTTTAAAAATGTATCGAATATCTGTTGGAAATGTAAACAAAAACCAGGTACTTATTATCATATCTGGTGGATATGTCCTAACGCAAAGAAATTTTGGTTCACGATCCATATATGGTTGGAAAAGATGACTAAAATACAGATAGAATTTAAGCCAGAACTGTTTTTGTTAGGAATATTAGGACTTAATTATGGGAAAGAGAATAAATATTTAATACTACATGTATTGACAGCTGCGAGAATTGCATTTGCCCAATTTTGCAAAAAATGAAAATTTACCACCTGATCAGATTATAATCATGAAAATCTTAGAATGTGCAGAAATGGATAGACTAACTTTAGAGATTAAAGAGAAAGAAGATTCAGTGTATTTTAAAACATTGGAAAAAATTATCAATGGCTAGCATTACGTTAGAGCGAGAAAGGATTGTGAAATTTAACAGGATGAATGATATTTACTCACTAAGCTTTACTTCTATGATTATTGTTACTATCAGTGATTATAATTGTTTAGTATTATATTAACTACTGTCATTCAATATTTGTACCCGGACGATAGTCTGCTTGCTAAAGCGTTGAATTCTTTATGGGGAGCAACCCCACTATTGTAGCTACCCTTACTCTTATCCCAACCCTATTCCCCACCCCACCCACTACCTATACCAATCCTATCCCCTTTCTACCCTTATAAAACCTAATAAAATGTTTTTTAAAAAATAAGGAGCCTAAAAGTAGATATGCTAAGGCCGCAGATTGCAACCACTGCAATGTTGGTTATAATTGTTGGAAGTTGTAGTCCAGTAACAGGTTTTCCATTTCTGTGTTACAGGCCTACATTTATTATTCAGACATAAATCCCAGTGAAATCAATGAGACTATTTTTTTTTCAGTAATTGTGGCTAGGACTAGTTTGTTTCATTATAGAATGTAATGCGCTTGAATTACTTTGTTTCATTATAAAATATAATATGTTAAACAAGTCACTTTAATCCTGTTCTTGCAAGATTGATAGTTATTTCCATACTTTTATTAATATTATCTTTTACTGGTGAATCTTTTATGTTACCAACGGGCTGTTACAAGAAAGTTTCACTGGATTTAAGTAAAACTTGGTGCAATAAACTTGATTATTTGCTGATATATTTGAAGTATCTGAATTTAGCAGCTAAGATCCCAAAGGCAACAAAATACTAGCTCAACGTTTATGATGCTTACAGGTGACTGCTGTTTGTAAATTCATAAATGCTGCAAAACATTGGATAAGGTAGTGAAATGGAATTTCATTTGAGCTCCTATTGCCACTGCTTAATTAAAGTGCTACCTAACCATCCTTTGTTTGGCAGAAAACTATACTTGTATGAAATTGGCCATCCCTGTTGCTCCTTTATCTTTATCACCTTTGTCCTCAATCATTGCTAGTCATCTGATTTTCCTCCAAGGTAATGAGTGATAAAACCTAGCCAATTTAAAATGGTTTAAAGCTACCCTTGCATGATGTCAGAATCTGGGGGAAACCCTACTTGAACACCAGTACAGCAAAAGATTAAGCTGTTTAACCCTTGGTGAATGCAGTCGATATGAAGACAACAAAGTAACACATTTGGAAGGGACCTTGGGGGTCTTCTAGTCCAACTCCCTGCTCAGGCAGGAAATTCTATACCATTTCAGACAAATGGTTGTCCAATCTTTTCTTAAAAATCTCCAGTGTTGGAGCACCCACAACTTCTGGAGGCAAGTCGTTCCACTGATTCTAACAGTCAGGAAATTTCTCCTTAGTTCTAGGCTGCTTCTCTCCTTGATTAGTTTCCTTCCATTGCTTCTTGTTCTGCCTATCATGTCACTCCTATTCATATCCAATCCCAGCAACCATTCTTCATGTGTTTTAGCCTTCGGTCCCCTAGTCATCTTTGTTGCTTTTCTCTGCACTCTTTCTAGAGTCTCTTTTTTACATTGTGGTGACCAAAACTGGATGCAATATTTCAAGTGTGGTCTTACCAAAGCATTATAAAGTGGTATTAATACTTCATGTGATCTTGATTCTATCCCTCTGTTAATGCAGCCCAGGACAAGGTACAAAAAAAAAAGAGATTGTTAGGTTGTGTTTGTTTAGCGAATAGGTACAAATGGAGAAAAATCCTAAAACAGCACGCTTGCAATCATCTGGGCATTTGTCAAAGTGATAAACTTTGTGCAATGTTCTGAACAACAAGCAAACAAACAACAACAACAACATAAATTTGATCTACAATCTTCATTTAAAGTGTGCTGAGCTGGCATCATATGACAATGTCTGTTTTTGATTTGCTTGGGTATTTTTGGCCTGGAGCTTCATTTGAAATGCAAACTCAGTTTCAGGCCTTCTTTGTAATTAAACTTCACCACAAGAACATAAGGAGCTTTGAAGTGAATGCCTTGGCAAACCCAACTGGTTTAACTTTATATCAGTGTTAACACTAGCATGGCAAAGAGAGCTTGGCACAGGATTCTGA